GTAAGGCGTTCAAGGCCCTAGGTCAGGACTTCGGAGGTCTCAGTGGAGTTTATTTTGCCTTCTAAGCAGATTAGTTTGAATAAATAAGGTGTTTGGGTTCTGAAAAGAATAAGAAATGAGATGGAAAATCTCCACAATTTATTAGTAGATGGTATTCCTAGAGCATAGGAGGAGTTGGATGCACGTTTGTGGAATGAGTTAAAGATTATGTAAACAAATAATTAGAGAACCTAGAAACAATTAGATAAATCTGGAGAATCAGGTTTTAATAATGTGACAAAGAGGTGTCACACAGTCTTAGAATTAAGACTGCTGAATCGTGCTCCTTGGCGGCTCAGTTACTTGCTTGTCACAGAATTTCTTCCCAAACTCCTTTAGGTAAAGTTATGATTTATGCTGTTTCTTTTCTCAGCATGTTCTAGTGCTGATTCAGAAACCAAGGGCTGATGCTACCTGTTCTGTCAAAATGTTTTGATTCTGAAAACAAAGTGTGGCCCTGCTTGAGGCAGCGTGAACACACTGTGTCTACTCCAGAGCAGATCCTTGCTAAGCCTGAGGGACTTTTCTGTTTTTTAGTCCTGGAAATTGACCCTCAGGTGCTCTATCATCGAGCTACATCCCCAGACACCTTTTTATTTTTTATTTTGAGACAGAATCTTGCTATATTGCTGAACTAGCTATCCTCCCACCTCAGCCTCTTGAGTAGCTGGAATTACAGGTTTGAGCCACAGTGTCCGCCACAAAGTTGCATTTCTTTATTTCTTTCATTATTATTTGTAGGTGTGGGGAGGGGTGTATTGAACCCAGGGGCACTTATCCACTGAGCCACATCCCCAACTCTTTTTTATATTTTACTAGAGACAGGGTCTTGCTGAATTTCCTAGGTCCTCGCTAAGCTGCTGAGGCTGTTTGAACTCGCTACCCTCCTGCCCCAGGCTCCTGAGTCACCAGGATTCTAGGCTTGGGCCACCATGCCCACCTACAAAGTTCATTTGTTAACAATATTTATACAATGACTTTTACACTAAGTGAAGAGTATTTTACGTCTGTGTCATGGCAATGTTGCACAAGCCCAGTTAAAGGGCTTCGTCCTGGAAGTAACA